GTAACCGACCCCCTAACTGACCCCCTCACCGACCCCCTAACCTACCTCCTAACCGACACCCTAACAGACCCCACAACCGACCCCTAACCTTTTTTTTTTTGACGGGGGGGAAATCTTTATGGATACCGCTGAGCCCAGGGAGACTCAGGGGTTATGTGGGGACTCTCCCTCCAGACTGGAGGGCCTACCCCACTAAAACCCCCCCGGGTTTCCCTCTCGCCGGTTGAGTCGGCGCCGTGGGATCAGTGAACATTAACCACGACGCCGCCCGGCCGCCCTAGCTTACGCCAGGGCTCCCGCGCCAACGGAGGGGCGAGTCGGTTGTCCTCCGACCCGCCCCCCAGACGAGTGAGGCCGTGCAATGCAGGCTCCGGAGTCCCTGTCCAGAGCCCGCTGGTCACTAGGGGATCAGGCGAGCAGCGAACTGCCTTCGCCTTCTCCCCGTACGTCTGCGCCGAAGCGGGTGCGCGTCCGCCGCGTCCTCGCGCACCCGCTCCGCGGCCTCCTTTTGCGACAGAACCTCAGCACCTGCTCAAGGTGGTACGACAGTGGCCCGTGGGACCGGTTTACCCACTCTACGAGGACAGGGCGGATCGCCTCTATGGTACGAGCGAACCGACCCCTAATCTGCCCCCTAGCCGACACCCTAACCGACCCCAACCAGCCCCCTAACCGGTCCTCTAAGCGAACCCCTAACTAACCCCCTAACCGACCCCAACCGGCCCCCTAACCAAAAAGGAAGAATGAGATCTTGGAGAGAGAGTTTCACTAAATCTACGCCAATCAACTCTTTTTTTTTCACTCAGTACTTACAGCTTTTGCTGTAGCCGCACGCTATTTTACAAAAAGTGATTCCGTCATTGTTAGTACATATGCACATTCTGCTGTTTTCCTCTCTCTACAGACTTCAGTGTATTCTGAATCCCACTAAGGTAGAGATGGAGAGTTACCCTTGATTACATTTTTGGTGGGGAGGCATTTATCAGCTGATGACAGCAGGCAATTTCTAAAATCAACATAGACTAAGCGAAAATTTTCAAGATCAGTCATAGGTAAAACACGTCTAAAACACATCTATATTTTGACTAGTCGGCCTTTGAGGCTAAATTTTAGTTAAAGACGAGGAATTCTCTTCTGGATATTCGAACGGTCGACCCTGTGCTGCTCCGGAGCTAGAATAACAATTGAAAAATTGTCACTGCCTTGAGTAACCGGCAGGATTGTCCAGAAGAGTTTGGAAGAAAGTGAGGGGGAGCACAGAGAGAGAGATCCGCGGCATTTTAATATTCTGAGACGGATAGACTCTACGCGGCGGGGAGCCATCGTTGAGAAGGCAGAGGTCATGGTTGTCGCAGATATACAGGAAGGCAGAGGATAAATGGTCATTGTAATATGAGCCCCAGGAAGTGTGGTGTATATTAAAATCCCCTAATATTATAAGCGGGGGGACTAAGGGAAGCGACAATATCCGAAAACTGCAAGGCATGTAAGGTTGGGATGAGGAATGTAAACCGACAGCACGTTATCTTTAGCAATTTGACAGCAACTGCATTAGGGCATGCATTCCGGAATTCCGAAATATCGGAACTCCGGAATCGGTGAGCGATTTTTTGGATATTTCAATTCCGGAATTAAGAGTTGTTCTAATATCGGTATTCCAATATTGAAACATTTTATAGTGACATTTAATTTATTTACTTCTATTTCCAAACGCATATATATACACCACTCGTCCACTTATACCCCCAATACCGTAGCCTTCCCTTTGTGTACCGCAGACCACGCAGAAAAACCTCCTTCAAGCAGATGTCCTTGTGGTTTACGTCTTGAAAAAACACGGCAAAGATATACAGCGGCAATTAGATTATCAAACGTGATGATCAAGCATGTCCGATATGATTGAAATTTTTTATAGCTAAAATGTTGTAAAACTCACTGCCCTGTCATTATGCCAAAGTGATGCGACGCTTTATACAGCGGATAGGGCATTAAAGTTAATGCTCAAAAAGCTAGACGAACAGAACATTTCTTGAGCTCTAAACTTGGGACGAACTTGTGAAGTCGTATCAAGCAACGAAGATTGTTGTTAGCAGGTGTACTGCACTACTTGCATGATTTGGAAGACTTTTTCGCAGAAACTGATGATGACACTTTTCCTAAGCCTGACAGTGAAGAAATTTCTGACATAGTCATCACTTTACTACGCCAGCTTAAACGCAAAGATACATCCAGTGAGACCAGCACTTCCAATACCACTCCTGCAGACACTGAAGGGCAATAAAGAAACGTTTCGTAGTCTTCTGACGATAACATTCTCCAAGAGCAAACTCTGTGAGACCAGCTTGATATCGAACTCAATAAATCTAAAGAATCACGCTGCAAGTTATGTACCAATTTTGATTTTGCAGGATTTATAAAAGTAAAGCAAGCTATGTAGGTATGGCAACGGGGGAAATCGAAGCATCTAACCGAGGCATTTAAGTATATTTCTTGTTCTGCCTACAAGTGTAGAAAGTAAGAGAGTATTAGATTAGATTTGATACTTACCAACTTTAGGTTACATGAAAGTATTGCAAGAAGTACCTAGCTTCACAGCTGGTGGATCGCTTCCCAGCCACAAATATGCAGAGTTTTGTTTTAACTTAGCACATTCTTCACAACAGAAAAAGCAGAAAGAAACCAGAGACGATTTTCTCTCACTCGTAATCTGCGTAAACTAAACGATTCACATCATGCCATAAGAACACACCTGATGGTAATGCAGGGTCTGGTGAACCTGGTAGGGGTTTTTTCTCACTAACTCTTGTTTACATACCAAACCACGTGACTTTTCGTGAGAAACAAACAACAAATTAATTTATATTTATTAATTAAAATTAACATTATGTTATCTGAAAAGCACAATGCCGCTTGGGTTACAATACCGTGCAAGGTACTCAAATAGTATCTTAGAAGGCTTTGGTGATGCCGATCATGGCGAAGACGTATTAACAGGAAGTTCCGGTTGTATATCGATACGCAGGAGGAGCCATATCATGGCTTAGCCAGAGACAAGCTTCAGTGGCAATGTCCACAACAGAAGCTGAACTTGTTGCTGCCAGCGAAGGAGTGCGAGAACTAGTTTGACTTGCCCGAATCTTGGGAAAACTAACGAACTTGAAAGAGGCACCCAGTCTCAGTATGGACAATGAGGCTGCTGTGCGACTAGCTCACAACCCAGAGTTTCATAAAAGGACAAAACAAATTTCCGTTTTTGTATAAATTAATATAAAAATAATACAATAATAAATAAATTGTCCGTCACACTTTTGTCCGCGAGCTAGTGATGGATGGAACCATTGATGTGAAATGAATAAACACAGCACATTAAGTAACAGACATCTTCACTAAAAGTCTCAGCAAGCCTTTGTTTGTTCATAGAACGGAAGGCGTATAAAGGGACCCTTGATGGATCTGACCAAGAAGGGGCGCACATGGCTTTGGATAGTAAAATGAATTCTCTACGTAAAAATAGAACTTGGGAATCAATAAAACCAAAAGGAAAACCCAGACCGTTACCCCGATGGAAACGTTGATTAGCAAAAAAAAAAAGACCGCTAACGGAGGGCTGACTTTACGTAGTTTGATGTCGCCACAATTTTCTTCAACGGAAAAGTAAGAGGAACTGTACATGTAACAATGTAAAGGATGTAATGATGGCACCGGACGGCTATGCAAGTTAAACAGAAGCCTTTACGGTTCAAAATAAGCCCTTCGCGATTGGAACATTTGTATTTATGTTTTTAACGTAATCGAGATTTAAACAAACAGATATACCAGTACCTATTTTTGCAAACGTGGTGTTACTAGGCCTGTATGTGGATGGCTAGTTAATGACATCAACAGATGAAGCAGGACACTTTGTCGAACATAAGCTAAAGGCTCCTTTCAAAATAGCAATGAAATTTACATCTTATTTCCCTGGTTTGGAATTGGAACGTCAAGCTGTGATGCTATTTTAGTACATTATAGAGTTTACATCAAATTAACATTAGAGAAATTCAAAATAAAAGGCTGCAAACCAGTTGCGACTTCAGCTGTAAAGGAATTCCAAGAGAGTATTTCCGACGAAAGTCGCGAAAAAGCGGAAGTTTGTGAACCGATTTGATAATTCTTTTTTGTTGGAAAGGGAGGACCTCAGTATTGGTCCCATTTAAATTTGAAGAAAATATTCCACCTCTAAGAATGGCAAACTTGGGGATGAGTCCGGTTTCGCGTACTTTCCGGTAATTGATTTCAATAAAACCTGGTAAATAGATGTAATTTGTAAGTCAATGAATTCCACGAACTTTTGAGGTCGGTTTTTTAGTATGCTGTACTGAGATTATTAGCTACTCTGTCTGTCACCTCTGTATTTTCTTATAATAAATTCCTTAATAAACATATCCAGTGAATAGAATCAGTATGGTATATGGGGAGCTTTGTATTCGAGTGCCAGATTTGGATATTTTCCATATATTTTCAATAATTCCTTGCCTTTGTTCAGGCATTGTGTATTGCAATCGTTATTAGGTAATTTAAATGTAAGTAATATGAAATAATGTTTTTAATATTTATTAAGTAAGTGCCTATTGTAAAATGTGTATATGTAAAATCATATATCATATAGCTCCTAAACAATTTTTATTAAATTTAGTAAACTGCCTCCGTGGCCGAACGGTTACCATGCCGGACTGCCACGCAGAGGTCCCAGGTTCGATTCCCGGGCCGGGAGAAATGTTTGTATGGCTTACATTTATTTCTCTCGTGAGTTTGGGTGTAATTTGTGGTTGTCTATGTGTGTGTCCATGGCACCCGCGACACAGGGTTTCCCTAGTGCGGGGCTATGTTGAATGTGTGCGTTATTAATTTATTATTTATAGTCGAATGAATCACAATTCTAATTATTTCAAATACAAACTGTTTATTAATCTAATGTGACAAATAATTTATGAATATTGTGTACTCCTTTGTGGGATATGTATTAGAAATTAAAATGATTATTTAAGTATTTTGGGAATGTGTAATACGTATTCTGTGGATGTACCTTATTAAGTAAATTAAATAAAAACAAAATATATTGTACGTAGATTGACTTCAACAAGTTTTCCGCGAAAACGATATTTATTCAACCCTTCTAAGTGGGATCTGCACCTTGTAGCTTCCGAGAATGTCTTCGTTCTGTGGTTCCATTTTCATAATGTCCATTGATCTCTTAATCTTATCTCATCGTCATCTACATATCTTAATATATTGAAATGGTATAGAGAATATTTGTGGTCCACTTGGGCGAACCATTAACTTAGATGGTCAACATCCTCAGGATCTAGGATAGCTTCAGATATGTTCGTGAGTACATGGATGTCATCTAACTATCTCCACAATCGATGGAGGTATAAATAGCTTATACGAATATGAAGTAGTTTGGTAAGAATTTAGTTCTTATTTATAAACAGTTCTACGATGTATGCTGCTCAGGCGAGGACCGACGCGCTCTATATCTCCCGCGGCCAATCGTGTCACCAAGGCCCGTAAGGGCAGTGGCTGCTCATTGCTCAAGTTCGAGCTAGTGTTAGAAAATGCCCAGCGAATATTACGATCCATACGAATATGATCTAAAAAATGCAATACAGTTACCTATTTGGTTTCAAGCCAAGAGATAGAATAAGTAATATAAAATGTACTGTATATGTGTGTGCGCACACTATATTTGTGTAGTTGGTTTATATACTTGCAAAATGCAAAGTAAATAAATAAATAAATAAATAAATACTTCGGAACTTAATTTTGCTTACCAATCGCCGGGTCTACGATGGCAAAAGCGCGTTTTAGGTTCTCCACAGAAATGGGCTTTTTGCTAGCTTGTCGACCTCCCAACTCGGCTACCACTTCACGAATGTATTTGTCCTGCGCCATTTGCCTTTGGCGGTATAATTCGCGAGCGAATTCTACACGGTCGAATCCTTCTTCATTCTATATGATGCAACAAATAAACAACTTTAGCAGAGGGTCCCTGTTAAAATCAATTCCCTTAACTCGTTTAGATCCTACCTCTTGGAATAGTTTATCCAAGTTGATTTCGTTGATATGCATCTTAAGTTTAAGTTGTTTTCTCACAACATCGGTCAAGTTTTTAATGTCCACTTCGCTTTTTAAGGGAAACGTTGCTTTGGCAATTTTTTCAAATTCGTCAATAGTTATTGTCTGCAACAGGGTAGTATTTAAGTAAATAAATAGGAATGTGGATAGTTAATGGTTAATCAGTTTCATGTTGCGGACTATGACCTCTCGAGCCTTGCTATGCTTATATAGCTGGTCTTTCAATGTCTGCCATTGCGAGCGAAGCCCCCAATAGATGTGCTCGCTAAGATGACCATGTAGAATACCCCAGAACAGTTTAACTTGAGGTTCATCGAGCATTTGTTCTGCACCAGCGCATAAATTGTATGCCCACTCTGCCCGAACTGACGGCTGTTGGTATCTGGAGTGAACAATCTGGTTGTAGAGTTGTGCAGTCGCGATACGCTCCAAAGCTTTTCTACCGCAAATGGATAGGTGTGACCTACCTGTCTTCAAAGTATTTAGTAACATAGTCCTGCATCGGCATATTCCGTCCATGCTCCTGTCTTCCAACCCAAATGTCATTAATAATAACGCTGACTTCGCGACGTGATAGCCTTAAGTTACGCACTTTACCTTCGTAACGAAGGTAGGGAGGTATGGCTGGATCTATTCCCTGAAAAGCAACTTTATTACTTAAATTCAATATTTATGTTGGTATCAAACGTCAGTAATTTTGATAATTTATTAATCAAGTGGTTTACAAGTCCGTCAAAGTGTTCTAAATTATCACTTTCTGCTGCCGGTCCCAATTCCTTTAGTAACACTCGAAGAGTGTCTCTAGAAGACAATCCGCTGGCTAGTTGCCACCATCTGAATATTTCAAAATCGTTATTAGAAATTTAAAGATAATTACGCTATAGCTCAAATTTATCTAGGTATTTATAATACGAACCTGTCTCGTCCACCTCCAATGAAATCTGCACACAATTCCCATTGTGGGCGGGGCGTACCAGCTCGTTCAAGCTCTCTACACCGTTCTTTTATTTCTACCAATTCTTCTTCGATGCTTTTCTTTGAGGCTGGAATAAATGAACACATCAACCAGTTGCCTTTGATAATTTAATGGGTTTTGAGACCGAGGCTTACCCACAATGCGGTTGAAAGACTCTTGAAGAGCCTCATGTTCGATCTTTAATGTGTTTATGGTTTTGGTCGCGTCGTAATATTTAGTAGTTAAAGAGTCGTGTTCTCGATAAGGCACAGTTTCCGCATATTCTTCTCTCATTCTATTCAACTCTTGTTGCGTTGTAGATAGTTGCTCCCTATTTAAGATTATACAAAAATGTAGCAAAATTTTACGTATGGGAGTAGTTTTTGATAGATCAAGAAATATTTGAATTCTTAAGGATCTTACCTACATCTATCAAGGGCGATTCTCAATACCACAGGGTCTCCACAAGCACCGTCTGTCCAATGATTACTACCGTCAAGTTCTTTCAGCTTCATGTGAAGTTCAAGATTTTCAAAGAAGAGCGTATATCGTGCGTCTCGCTCTCTCATCAGAGTCAAGTAATCCGAAAACTTATTTTCCTCTAACTATAATTTACGTTATCAGTAAAAGTAGCAAACCAATTAATAAATGTTCAAAACGATTTACATGCACATATAAAATAGCGTAGACTAATTTTTTTTCCATCCTCTAAGGTAGACTTCAATCTACTTAACAGGAGGGTAGGATGGTCGGCAATGAACGCGCCTAAATTGTTAAGAACTGTAACCCTGGATCTATGGACCTACATTATACACTTTTTGCTTAGAATTATAGATAATTTTACTAATTTAACTGGGTATGATAAAGTAGTACTTCATTTTTGTCCAAATACAGTCAATCTTTCTAAAACCATGTTTTTAAAAAAATGAGGAAATGGTTTACTGGGGAATGGTTTACCTATGGTACTCATTAAACCGGGGGCTGGTACACAATGAACCAAAGGTGCCACAATGGACATGATTATTACAATCATCACCAAAACATTGTATTTATATAAAAATTGTGATATACAACGCGGTTTTTGCTTAAATTATGAAAACAATAAGTTTTTGGGCATTCAACAAAAATATTAAACATAATTGAAAAAAAAAACAAAATTCTAAAAACAAAATAAGTAATGGATTTCAAAGAAAAAAACGACTAAGTTTCTCAAATTCAAAATAGGCGGTTTGTAACTCGGTCGGTGCACTTACTCTATGATTTTTTTAAATTTCCCAAAAACCAATCAACATTTCATGTTTAATATACCAATATGTTTTCATAGGTTCATTGTGTACACCTTTAAAGTTCTTAATTCTGCACCACCCCGTACTTGTAACATTTGGGATTAAGTAACGTGCCTAAAAGCAACGGTGCTTATTTTAACTACCTACCTAAAAAGTGCATTGATGGCTAATCTATTAATATGCAGCTACTGCTTATATAAGTCAAACTAAACAAAATTCTCGCGTTTTTTAGTTTTAAAATGAAAAACATCGACGACACTGGGCATCTATAAGTGTCGCTAGCTCGCTGTCGACTAGAAGAATAGGTGTATATACACTCGCGAGCAACCAAATCGACTCAAGCGCTACCTCTACATTCAAACATTGTTCTATATAAAAGTATACAACATTTCAATAAAAATAATATGCCATTTGAAAGCTTGAAACTTCAGCTTTTAGGAAATGTCGTCATTATTAATATCCATGTATACTTTTTTTTATTACCGGTGTCTGAACTTAAATGGGAGAAAAATGGGATTTTGGGTAAAGGAGTTTGACACAAATAAAACACGTTTTTTTCTTAAGAAGTATAAAATTTATTAATTCAATATTTGGTATTGCCTCCCCTAGCCCTAATTACAGCACGTAATCGATTCTTCATCGATCTTATTAGTTTTTTGACGTTGTCTTGAGGAATACCTTCCCACTCCTCTAATAAAGCTGCCTTCAGTTCTTCCAGGCTCGAAGGAGCTGGATTTCTTGCTCGTACCCTTCGTTTGAGCTCGTCCCATAAATGTTCGATGGGATTTAGGTCTGGACTTAGCGCAGGCCAGTCCATTGTGCGCAAATCGACTTCTTGAAGGAACTCCTGAGTAACGCGCGCTGTGTGGCATCGAGCATTGTCGTGCATTAGGATGAAGTCTTCGCCAACAAATCCTGCGTAGGGCACAACATGTTCCAGGAGAATATTTGTGATGTACCCATCAGCTCCCAGTCCCGCTCCTCGGCCTCCTCCAGGCACGAAAACGATTTTCGAATTTTACCCTCCAACGAGATACCAGCCCACATCATGCAAGAACCGCCACCATAGGCAACGGTTTCTGCGAAACAGCATTGGGCAAATCGCTCTCCCGGACGCCTGTAGACCCGGCCTCTCCTGTCACTGCCATGCAGACACATCCTGCACTCGTCAGTGAATAGGACCGACCGCCATTGCCCAAAGCTCCAGTTAAGATGCTCTCGAGCAAACTGTAGCCGAGCTTGCCGGTGGCCTGCAGTCAATTTGGGGCCTGTTGCAGGCCTTTTTGGAGACAGATTGGCTTCCTTCAGACGTCTTCTTACTGTCCACTCACTGACAGCTACGCCTCGAACACGTCTCAGCTCGCCCTGCACATCGACACCCGTAAGGTGCCGATTTCGCAGGGTGGTTGAGACAATGAAACGGTCGTCTCCTTCAGAAGTACAACGGTGGCGGCTGGTTGTTGGTCTCCGAGTGAATGCTCCGGTCTCTTGATACCGTCGGTATACTCGGGATACAGCAGATTGACTCAAGTGAAGCTGGGAAGCCACTACTCGCTGACTGAATCCTTGTTGCAAAAAGGCAACAACTTGAGCGGCTTCTTGAGGTGTGGTATCCATGGTTTCTTGAAAACAATGAATGCAGGTTGCGGAGATGTGTATCGGTCAACTGTTGATCAGCGACTGATAAGGATTCAAGGGTCACGGGGGTTTTTATAGGGGTAGAGGGTAGCGCAACTAGCAGGTAGCGTAGGTAGTAATTAGTCCCATTCTCCCTAATTGCGCAAATGAACATGTTGGTACTTGTTTTATTTATTGATATTGATGTTTTTTTAAAGCTTAGGTTTCAAGCTTTCAAATGGCATATTATTTTTATTGAAATGTTGTATACTTTTATATAGAACAATGTTTGAATGTAGAGGTAGCGCTTGAGTCGATTTGGTTGCTCGCGAGTGTAGTAGAAGCTCATCTGGTGCGAATTGCACCAAATTCCAATATTGCCTTTCAGAGTTACTGGCGCGGTTCGTAGAATCTAGTTGACTGTTGACCATCCTACCTTACATAGATGTCGTTGTAACATACATATTATTAGCGCGTTTACGTAATATATTTGTGGTACAATTACATGTATATTGTACAAACACATCTAGTAATTGCAACAAACAAATTACATAAGAGTAGTATGTGCAGAATGAATAAAACACAGAATTATGGCAATGGTTGTATATATCCCAAAGCGCAATGTACAATAAGACAAGCCCAACACAAAATATATCTATATTCTGTGGACATAATAAGTACAAGATGTATTAGACAACACTGATAGCACCATCTACCATACTAATATTTACTAGTACCTTAGTCATATCTTTTTTCAATTTTGATATTTCAAAGGTCAACTTCAAATTCTGATCTTTCAAGTCCTCATTTTCTCTTAAAATCAATTTAATTTTATCATCTCTCTGTTTCTTTCTAACAGAAATGCCAAATACTTGCTGCGAAATGGAAAATACAATATCAAGTACAAAATACAGTCTAGTAAATCCAATCAATCATTCTTCTTATGCAATCATATTCTCTAAGTGTAAAGTTTTATTACATGATTTATTCTCAACAAACTGTATGATCACATAATCCCTAACACAATGCCAGTGTCTTCATTTCTACCCAGTCCTGGACTCGAAGTTTGATACGGGATATGTCTGCACTGTGGGTTCTGCAACACCCTCCAACATATCGCACACCAAGCTCCAGCCACTCATTAACAAAGCTCTCCAGGGCCTCACATTTGTCTCTCTCTGTCCAACCTATTGCAGGGTCATACTTCTCACCAGAGTTGGGATAAGTTACAAATGGAATTGGTGTAGGCCTATCATCATTGATGCCTTTCAGCAAATTAGCCACAATTTTTGGAGAACAACAGTTGACACCCACAGCCAACAACTGGTTAGAATTTAAATCCCAGCATTTCTTTACAGCTGCTCTGAAATTCTCCCCATGAGCCAAACTGGACCCATCCTTGACACTGAAAGAGAGCCACGCTTTAATATTAGGGAACTCCTTAAGTAACTCCATGAGCATTTCAGCTTCTTTTAGACATGGTATAGTTTCTATTGCCAGTAGGTCCACACCTGCTTCTACTAATGTCCTCATCCTTGGTCTATGCCATTCCCTCATGGTGCTCACTGGCGTTCTGTCAATGTAATTCCCGTCGTACTCAGACCCATCGTGTAAGTAAGCTCCGTAAGGGCCGACCGAACCAGCAACTCGAGGGATGCGCTTAGGCAGGCCGGTTTCGCGACACTCCTCTAAATAAATGTCACGAGCGCTCTTGGCTAGGTTTACAGCACCCCTTATAAGTTCAATGCCTTCCTCCGCCGTCACTCCTAGATGTTTTACAAAGCCTTCAACTGAAGCTTGGTAGGTGTTTGTGGAAATTACGTCTGCGCCGGCTCGTAGAAAGTCAAGATGTGTATTAAGCACCTGCTGAGGATGAGTCTGTAGAAAGCGCGACGACCACAATGGATCTCCGTCAGAAGAACAGCCAACGTGGCATGACAGCTGGGTGGAAAATCCTCCGTCTAACACGAAAATTGTACGATTCTTTCCGATAATTTCAGTTGTTCCAGCCATTATTATCACGTGTAGTAATTTTAATAAAAGATTTACAATTAAATGATTTACATGAAATTTATTAACAACAAAATTTTACAATATATCAGTAAATTTATGACGAAATTAATTTTTATTTAAAAATAACATTCCGCCCTAAACTATTAGAAATATTTTCTATAATATAATTGTCAGTTCGCGGTTACCACTGGTTTCGTGAACGTCAATCTTTTTTTTTTGTACTGTGTTTTGTGAGAGTCAGAATGGCGGGTGTACCTTTGATATTGCTATAACTTCGTTCTGATGGGGGTACAAATTTTTTAAACAGAGGTACTAAATAGCATGTACAAATTAGATACATTATTTTGATACCAAATTTAAGGATCCCATAGGGTACACCGTTCACTTATGTAGTCTGTGAGTGCACCCGCCAATCCATGGACGTAACGCCAATCTGAAGGGTCGTTTTCTAGAACTCTACTCAAAGCTCGTGTCAGAACTTGAGTATGATTCAAAGCACTAGAAATCATACTCAAGTCCTAGCCATTACAGTCGTATTTCCAGTGCTCGAAATCATACTCAAGTCTGCTCAAATCCTAACTTGAGCATTGAGTACAGTTCTGGATAGCTTTTCGCGGTAAACTTTTAGTCACATACAGAGCGTTTTGACTGACATGTTTTTAAAACAGGGAAACTTTTATAATATCATGGAATATAATTTGGAAACGGGATTTGAAAGTTGGAGAAAAAGGGATCAGGCGAGCAATTATGAGATGTAAATAAACGGTTAGTTTCTCTATAATCAGTCACTCGTCAAATTTTTAGAGATGGACGATCGGCTAATGGTATTTTACCGGTTTAGACTCAACTTAGTCTAAACCGGTAAAATACCATTAGCCGATGTTATATAGATAGAGATTGTTTAAGGCTAAGCGTAGAAATCATGACACAAAAACGTAAAGATAAGAGAGGTGATACATTTTGCGATAACGCCGAGGACACCAATTACGAGGTTAAACATGGAACTACTATTTCGTCGTAATGTTTTATGTCGTATGTCTGGAGTAAAATCTAAACAAAATAGGTAAAATCGAAGTTACGGGTGGTTCTACAAAATCCTTCTTAACATTGGGAATGGCATAATCCGTACAATATGTTTCTTACCAAACCTACGAGAAAACCTCGTATGAACTACCAAATACCAGCTTACAAAGATATCGTTGTAAACTATAAAATAAATCTGACGAAACTTACGTCTTGTGTTATAAATTGTGTGATTCGTTCGTCCCTTACTTGTATAGAATTTTCATAAGCTGCTTTTATTTGATTTAATAAATGCGAATAAGTTACGCAATTGTCTATGATAGATGTAAAAGCTTCCCTAAAAATCTGTGAAGAGAGTTTTTTAATATTAGTTATGAATGTATATACTATAAGCAAAGTCAAAACCTTCGCGGTCTAAAACATTATTGTTTGCAAGAATAGATTGTAGCTAGCTTTGCCCCGTATTTGGTTGATTATTTATTGAAAATACATTTTGTTTATTATAAAAACATAGCCCAGCTTTTAAACACCATTGATTGACAAGGACAAGCAAGATGCGCGTGACTGCTACTGAAAAGAATGTTTAGGCCGGCCACGAGTCGACTTTGATAATCAAATTCATTTCAGTGTCAACCTAGAACTTAATTGTTACTATTTGTACCGAAAATTCAGGGGTGGGTAGGTACATACCTTTAATACTGCATCATGGTACGTTTGTTGTGTTTCTAAAAGGTCACTAGAAACTGTTTCAACAAGTTTCAATTCAGTTGTGACTTTAGTTTCAATATTTTGTATTAGTCTAGAATTGGTAGTTTTATTTTTATGCATGATGACTGTATGGTCGTTAGCTTTTATCAAAAGTATGATTGATATTACGTTTCTGTGGTAATTATCTTAAATCACTTATAGGTAGGTTGATATGTGGACTGAACTTGTGGCGTAGGTATAGTTTTACAATCTCTTCAGAGGTGAAGGGGGATTCGCGAAATGACACAAACTTCTCCGATGTCTCTTTTTTTATTTCTTTCCATCCTAGGATATCTCACAAAAAACATAGCATCAGAACTTCTTGTGAAAGAGTTCGTCCAGTGAAGTACTGCCACCTTATCTATTTCGGCCCACAAACAGTAATGTCGGCGTTATTGTGTGGTTGTGAAGGGTCCTTACCCTTCAAAACCGGAAATACTCCCGGCTGTGTGCTTTTTCCATTCTCTAAGGTGCTGGTGAGGTTACAGGCACATGTAGTGTTGTTAAAAAAAACTTTTTTTCTGAGGTGAAAAAAAACAATGAAAAGAAACATGAAAAGAAACCGTTTTTTTTTTCTGGAGTACGTTTTTTTTTTCTAAAAGTATGAAAATCAAAACATGGCAATAGTATTTTTTCCTACATTTCCTCTTTTGTTGTTAATATTATTCTTCATAGATAAATTGCTCAAAATAAATGGGCAACACTCATAGTGTTGTCAATTTGTGGCGAATTCCCCAAATTGCGGGGAATTTCAACTCGATTGGGCATTTTGTGGGATTGACGCTATGTGGGAAAAATGCAGGGATTCTAACATTCATTTTACCTTTTTTTTAATCTATCGATTGCTGTTGCATCGCTATTTTGATTATTATTGATAAAAAAACTACTTATTTATTTATCTAAGAGCGATATGGATATTTTTTTCCACATCGTACATATCCCTTATGTAGCATGTAGCAACATTTAAATAGAATTATTAGCAAGCCGCTTATATAAAATTATTCGGTAGGATTTTAATGAAGGAAACGAAGACACTGAAAATTTTGATATATTACAATTGTGGGTAACACCTGTAACAGTAGTAGCACTAGTAACACAAATGAAGATTATTTGTTGTATTCCAGAACTCTACTCAATGTTCAAGTCAGGGCTTGAGTATGCTTTCAAGCACTGAAAATAAGACCCTAATGGCAAGGACTTGAGTATGATTTCTAGTGCTTTAAATCATACTCAAGTCCTGACTTGAGCATTGAGTAGAGTTCTGAAATATGACCCTAAATTTTTGTTATAATTATCATGGTAACTGATTTTAATAAAAATGATTTATTTATTTATTACAAATTTTAGCAGGGCGTTGTGTTTTTTTCTTGTTTTTTTTTTCAAAAATGTAAAAAAACATTTGATATTTTTTTCAAGTTACAACACTAGGCACATGGGACTTGTCAACTTATGTCTCAGAGTGACGGGGCACTGCAACTGTTATCGACAGGCGTGTGACTTACGGCGCATTATAAGTTTTCAGAACTGGCCACTTACATAAACAATATTTAAAAAGAATATATTACAACATTTGAAAATGGAATTTTTTGGCTGTAGAATACGTAGTGTGTTTCATCTGACTATCACTTGTTTTTACATTGTGGCGTCATTTTAGAAATTGGTTGTCTACATCACCATGGATTTAACTTTAAATTAAAATTAAAATTATTTTAATTAAAGGAAAAATTAAAGGAAAATTTTCGTGGTATGTTTTTCTACTACTTAACAGCTTAGCGGAGCTTCACTCGGCTTCAAACTGCTTTTGGCGATAAAGCACCATGCAAGACGACTATTTACAGCTAGTTTGCAGAATTCAAACGCGGTCGTGTGAATCTCAGTGACGGATTTCGTGAAAGACGCCCGTCCACTACTGTGAACAACAAAAACATCGATGCTGTGCGCCATATGATCAAAACAGACAGGCATGTGACATACCATGAGATTCGGACATCTTTAGGCATAGGCATGAGTCAAATACAATCAATACTACACAAACATTTGGGTGTGAAAAAGCAGTGCTCTCAGTGGATTCCACACAATTTGACTGAGTCTCAAAAAAACGGATCGAATGCCATGCTTACCAGATTCAACACAGGAGCGTCAAATTTGGTGTGGGATATAGTAACAGGTGACGAAACATGGATTTATAGTTACGATCCCAAAACAAAGCAGCAATCGAGCCTATGGGTCTTTCGAGATGAGCCGAAACCAATCAAAGTGGCGCGCGTGCAAAATGCCTCTAAGCGGATGATTGCTTCTTTTTTTAATAAAACTGGACACGTGGCTACTGTTGCTTTGGAGAATCGTTGTACCGTGAATAGTGATTGGTACACGACCATTTGTTTGCCGGAAGTGATTGACAAACTCCGTAAAAATAACCGTAAACGCAGTATCATCTTGCACCACGATGAGGCCAGTTCTCACACGGCCAGACAGACAAATGAATTTTCGAAGGTGAACAACTTTGACCTTATGAGCCACCCCGCGTACAATCCGGACCTGGCACCTTGTGATTTTTATTTATTTCCAAAAATTACTCACCAGTTACGCGGACAACGATTTTTATCACCTGAAAAGGCTGTCGAAGAGTATGAAAAATATGTTTCAGAGACTGTCACAGAGGAGTGGCATAAATGTTTTAAAAAATTGGTTCATTCGTATGAAAAAGTGCATTAACGTTAACGAAAAATATTTTGAGAAACAATAAATGTATAGTATTTTTTTCTTATCCATTCCGGAAATTTATGGTGCGCTCCATGTATCGGGGGCTCCTGCAGCGTGCCGGCGATATGACGCGACTGTGGTCGCAGCGACTCGCTGCGACTAGTTTTAACACATAGAACTAAACGGCGTCGTGCAGCTTGCCCGCGACCAGCGACCATTGGTCGCGAGACTTGGAGCGATCAGTCGTCGCAAGTCGCTTGCGCAAAAATCGGAAGATATTTTACCAAAAAACAGTAGATTGAGAAAAAAAAGGTACTGAATTTACCTAGAAACACTATAAATCAATTTTCTTCAAACATTGATTTATCATTTTTAACCGACTTTAAAAAAGGAGGAGGTTCTCAATTCGACTGTATTTTTTTTATGTATCTTACACGATAACTCCGGCTTGTGAACCGATATGGATGATTCTTTTTTTATTGGAAAAATGTTACCTCAGCGTTGGTCCCATTTTAGTTTGAAGAAAATTTCCATCTCTGTGGGTGGCAAACTAGGGAATGAATCCGGTTTCGCGTACTTTCCGGTAACCGATGTCAATAAAACTTGGCAAATAGATGTAATTCCACGAACTTTTGGAGTCGGTTATTTTTTATAAAAAAGTTATCGTTTCTACATTATTGCCCAAAGAAAAAAGGGCGTGATATTTTTTATGTTTATTATGTTACGAAGTTGAAGTCCTTAAAATTTTATTCTCTATTACTCCTAGCGGGAATCTCGATGTTGCGTTTGACAGCTGTCATTCCAATACAATCGCTAAGAAAAAGAAAGACAGGAAACTCGAAAGATAAAGGCGCGTGTTTAAAAACATTATTTTTAGAAAATAGAAAATAATACTTTTAAATAGTTGTTTCCCCGCATTTTTTAGACCTGTGATTGGCAAATATACCGAAATCCAAGAAAAGCGAAAAACCGACGATGTTCTTCCATTTGGCTACAACGCCAAGTTTTGCAAAAACTCCGAAAAATGTTCAATATGCTCAGAGAGTCACAGAAACCATTAGGACTATTGATTCATACTATATCAATTTTCCCTGTATGTATGATAATTCTTCGGAAATTCATTCGGTAGTATTTCGTCGCTAGTCGCCCGCACGTTGCACTGCATTAAGTATTTCGTCGTTAGAAGTCGCTGCGCCTGCTGTCGCGAAATATCGCTGGCATGCTGCACGAGCCCCTAGGCGCACGATTTGTGCGTAGTTTTATTTTACCCCCTTATAAAATTAAATTTTACATATTTTCATTGTCATAAAGAAAGCATTCTTAAAAAACCACTTTCTAAATCTAAATTATCTAAATTAAATCTGATTGAGACAGCCAATAGCGCGCGCTTATTCAAATTTTATCGCGCGCGTCGCGACTGTCATTCGTAGCCATGCTAAAGAAGGCCGATGTGCTTATTTTAAAAAGCAAATGTTTTTAAGTGCTTTTCGTTTAAACGCCCACCTCTAGATAGAGTGTTTTGCTTAATAGAAACCTTATTTTATTTTTAAAAGTAACATTGCATCAAAAGATTTAAAAAAAATGTATGCTTTTACGGTGCCGATTTAAAGGGTCATTTTTAAGAATTAATTCTTTAAAGTAACATAGTATTGTAATTTAAAGGAATGCCGTTCAGTTATGCAATTTATTAAAAGCAGAATCAAAATTGAAACTTGGAATTATTTTCATTAAATATTTAGATATTATAAGACAAGCAAAATTAATTAAATAAAGTCCTAAATTGTCCCTCATACCACTATGTCGATTTAAAAATAACAGAGTATTTTACACATGTATGTATATGTATAAACTGGGGAATTTTTTTAGCTAAGGATGTTTAATTACCCCAGAGACACCAAAATACATTGTGTTTTTTTGTTTTAAAAATAGTTGTTTGTGTAATTGATTTTTTGTATAATTGATTTTGTTGTTATCACGCTTTTTACATATATAAGCAAGTTAATTACTATTTTCATTGTTTTTTTTCTTCTTTCGCACTCCCAATAGATAACTTAGGTCAATGGTCTGTGCTAATTTATTTTAATTATTTGGTATTATTTGGTGAGACCGCAACGTAACTCCAAATGCTATGCAAACCAAGTCTATATTCACAGTCTTAGGTTTGTGTCTCTATACAGCATATACAGTGTTCAGAATACTCGCCACTTAAGCTCGCCAGATAGTAGTGCCACGCCAAATAGTTAGAATTTTGTTTAGCGTATGATATGATGTCAATGTGTTTACTGTTTTTCAATTTCACTCACTTCACTGAACGAATGAAACGGTGTATCTCTCTAGACATAGAGCTGGTAAGGTATCTCTATTACCGATACGGTATTGTCACCTAAGAATATGACGCGAGTTGAATATATATTTTTCTAATAAATGGTAACACATGTAAGTCGCCCGATGATAAGTCTACTCTCGGAGACTAAATTTGTCGCTGCGACATGTCGTACTACACAAAGCGAGTAAATTGACGCCGCGAGAGAGTTTTGTTGTCTCACGAGTCGCATCGTGCTAGCACCATTGGTGTATCAGCCAGGGTTTTCACTCTTATTTTGCAATAGAAACCAGTCAATTTAACGTAGAAGCAACAAATGCCTCTAGATAATTATCGTTCTCCCACGTTCTCCTCAGTGTGATTTAAAGCACTAGAAATCATACGCAAGTCCTTGTCATTAGGGTCATATTTCCAGTGCTTGAAATAATACTCAAATCTTGACTTGAGTATTGAGTAGAGTAGTGGAGTACGACCCTTAAACTCTGTACATTATAAAATAGGACTGCCGCAATAAATTTTAGCAATTTTGAATTAAATATATCAAAAAACATGTAATAAATTTCTGTGAAACGTTAGCAAACGACTGTTGTTGTCTGGCACTAAATCTCAACGATGTATAATATGTGTTAACGTCTTCAAGTCTTTCCTAAATTTCAATGTCATAGGATAATCACTTTAAAAAAATATTAAAGTATGTCAAGAGCACGTTAAGCTTGACACTTAAAATTTAACTTTTACAATACGAATGGTTCAAGGACCTAAGTGTCATGCTTGATGTAATCTTGAGATATTAAACAGGCCCATTCACTACCTGCATAGTAATCCGCCGCGCAGGTAGGAGAACACTGAGCATATAGAGTATCCTGCGTATGGCCCACGTACGGAATCTTGCACGACGCATTGCAGGATGGCTTGCACATTGCGACTATATTCATAATCCTGCATTACGCGGCAGACGGCAAGGTGGGCTGTAATGTAGTATAATGAATGCCTCCTTTTAGAAAGGACAATAAAATTTTGTTTCTGTATTTTCTATACACTCCAAATCGATTCGATTCTTTAGATTCGAATAATAATTTCTGATAATGATAAGTTACGGTTTTTTAGTGTTAGCAGCGCCCCCACGCCTCTTCTTCTGAACTAGTGGATGTGACGTCATTGACATGAAATAAGGAAATTAGAAATGGCTGCGATGGGTAGTGGACGGGGAGCGATGGATTCCCAAAATCAAGTGCAAAGTGATACAGTAGACCGTTTAAAATTACTTTATCCTAATGTGAACGAAGATGAAACACCACTGCCAAGAGCATGGAGTACCAAGGACAAATTCAGCTACATCGGGCTGTCGCAAAATAATCTTCGAGTCCACTACAAAGGTAAGAACTTTCAAGGTTTGTTTATGGACTAGTGATTTGCGAAACTCCTTTTCATTATGCTTATAAATGTGTAAGAAGTCATCAGCTGTAGTTTTAACTAGTTTAGATGAGCTGGTAGGCGTCTGACGTGTCACAGCATCCCGCGATTGTGTCGTATGCTGCATTGGATATATCTGTCGCATTACCTCAAACAAAGAAATCAGCTGATCGTATATTTTGTAACAATTCTTAAAAATAAATGAGGACCCTGCTAAAACGCTTGAAAAGTTGTCCAAATCGATATTGTACATGTATTTGACTGAATTGGTATCGTTTGAGTGTGATAATCGGTTCACAATTGTGCGATATATTACAAGGTCTCCTCTAGCTAGGTGGTACTTGAAATGGCAGACAAAAGTTACGAAATATCTCGCCCTACGCTGTGTTAACGTTATTTGTATTCGACATAAGGTCTACTTAATTATTTACTTATAAATGAAAAGTGAATGTGATACTGCAAAAATGGTTTTTTGTGCATGCTAATTAAGTCACCTTGAAATGAAAGTATCATGTTTGATAGAATTCTAATGCTTTGTTCCTTAACAGTGCAACATAGTGCTTATGATGTTGAGGTCTTAACTAGAACAAGTATTTTAGAGACTGCCAATTACTGTTAACATTTTTAGTTTTCATATGGACATTACATATTTATTAAAAATGTATTTGTTTTGATATTTTACTTTTATCAGCATAATTCTAAAGCCAATTACTTGAAGTACCTAATCAAATCACCCAACACCCCATAGGGCCTCTAGTGTTTTTTTGCTGTGATTTTTTAATATCTTATTGTGACATCATCGTTATACATTTATATTGCAAATTAATAACTATTTTTTTCACCTAGAATTTATCTATAACTGTTAAGAGCCCAAATCAAGTTTGAAAATAGTCCAAACATTTTTTCCATTTTCAATCATTGTTATATTCTCTTGTTAAGTAAAAATACTTTATTACTCTTACCTAAAACTGTTAATCAAATTTCAAATTTTCTAAGCCAGCCTTTCCATCTTAAACACGCATTACACATTTAGTGCAGCAAATATTAGAACCTTTTATTCCATGAACAGGTAAAATACATCATGTATACTTAAAAATATTTTTTTTTTGTCAAAGTTGGTAATGATGTACACAGATTCCTAATGAATGACAGTATGTACTTGGTACTTGGTGAAACGGGCTAGTGTCTGCAACTCGACGTCGAGACGCCTATTTTGTGTGTGGTGGGTGCTGGGTCCTACTCGTGCCTCCCAGGCTCTTCCAGGACTCTCAGCAGCCTCTTCGGTTTGCTGAAGACTTCGGGGAGCGAACTTGGCAATCCTAGGTACTTGGCCCTGTAGTTGGCCATGCCGGAGCACTCTACTAGTATCTGTATGTCCATTTCCTCCCCCTCCATGCACGCTCTGCATAGAGGGCTGTCCATACCACCTAAATTGAAAAGGTGTTTATTGTATGGACCATGTTACAGAGGCAGTTACAGTGTGAAGCTCTTGTCATACTGTCAATGACAGTATGTTTACATTTGTTTGCATACTTCATTTTGCATTCAGTTAGTCTATATTTAACAGTGATATTCTTGTTGATAGTTTTTAGTGTACTAACATTATGCCAGACAGAATAATGTTGCGTCGATTACATTGGCAATGAATTTATTTGAACTTCATGTTGTCAACTTTAGTTGTTAAGGGTAACAATATTTTGTAACGCATTTGACCTTCATCTCACTTGATGGAAAGTGATGATGAGGGCGACAATGATCACACGCAAAATAGGCATATTGATGTCGAGTTGTGGACACCAGCCCGTTACACCAAGTGCTAAAGTACCAAGAGGTCGACAATGGAGCATGCACACCTAAATGATGCCTATTCACTCTCGCGTTACAAATAAATCAAAATTTAACTAGTCTGTGTTGTTTGAAGATTGACAGAAGAAGAGTGAAATGACCGTTTATTGTGCTAAATTTTTGACCGCTTGCAAGTAACTAGTGATTCCAGTCGAAAATATTATATCGACTGTCAGCTAAATGTTAGTTATGCTTAGGAAATAAATAGTGAAGCTGTTTCATTTGAATCATAGTCAGCCCATCATACGTCCAATTGCTGGGCACAGATTCATTTGAATTGTTAATTTTTAGAAAATTACACACAGTATTATGGACTAAATATCGTTATTCATTATTAGGATTCATTCCTAGCAACATAGGTTATTAACATTGCGGGGCACAATAACTATCTACGTAGCTTGGCAAATGAGATTGCAAATATGACATTTTAGTAGTAATTTATTTTCTATTGATTAAAAGTATTTAAATGCTATTAATTGACCATTGTTTTTTAATTAATTCCAACAAGTTAATCAACATTGTTCCACATAGTAAATTAGCTAATAACTTTGCAAGCATTGCACATATTTATGTGGGAAAATTGTACATAATTTCATTATGTACTTTATTGACCCTGCTTAAACTGATTAGATAAACAGTAGGTAAAACTTGTTGTTGTCTGACCCTTGAATATTGTGTTATTTACACAATACAATACAAGTTTGATGTGGACCCCTTCTTAAAACTTGTTGTATTTAAAATGTAATCTTCTAAGTATTGTCAGTAATTTAGATGTAATGATCATATCAGTATTTGTAACAACTGCATAAAAGTAAAGTTAGTCTTGTTTCTTGACTGAGGAAGCAGCTCTATGTCCATTTCACTTGGTGTGCTGGTAATGATAGTATTGCGGGCTCGGTAATAACTGCAACTATTGCTTTCTAAATAATATCTAAATGTAATTTGCACTTGTCTGCTTTCTATCAATTGCAGTTTTGATCAATGTTAGAGAAAAGTTGGCGAGGGAGCGTAGAATCGTTCGAAGTACGAATGCCATTGTTTCATTTAAAAAAAAACATACAAAAGTATAGAATGGTGATCCCTTTAGTTAATAATTGATCCCATTGTATAGCTAACATTTTCCCTACGAAAATAATTCATGGTCTGTCTCGAAATTGCACCGATGCGCGGCGTAGCGGCCGTTATGGCTACCCGCGTGTGCCGGTGCGATATTGATCGGGTGTAGACGCGCCGGGTGTTGACCGGGTCTGGTCTAGACCGGTACACGTCGTTGCACTTTGCCTAATTCTGCGTCTAGACTCCGGGCAAAAACCCTTTACAATTTATAGCAACTCTCACACCCGCAGGACTTATTCCATGTTTAAAATAAAAACACGAGTGTAGCATATTGCGAATCAAAATATTTCATTTTTACATTCACATATTGTTTAGTATGTCACTATCAAAATTAAACATGTTATTGTTAAAGTAAAATTAACAAACATGTTTGGAATAGACTTATTCAATTTATATGTTTGAGATTGTTGGTGTGGTAGCTGAACATCGGGCGAACGACCTATGAAACCTGTTGGCGAATAGTGATGCCTGGTGACTAGCGACACAGGCAGTCTTCTTTTTGCTCGCTCCATCATTCAAATTTAACATCATGCATCATGAGAATCTCGTTGTGATGTTGGGTCGACTCTACTTATGACAATTTTGGTATTTAAGATATTTTTAGGGTGATTAATGGAACAAGTTCAGCCGTCCGATGCAAATTAGTAGCGACACTGAGTCGAACTATTAGGCAATGAATAGAAGTTCGTGGTATCTACACAAGCCTATTGTTGCGTTTTATGAATGTTATTACTACTACGCGTCACATGTCTGGAAACAGCGGCGAGCTAAATAATCGCTTCTTTAACGTTGCTGTTAATTAATTTTCTTATAATTATATTACAATACCCATATGCACGCGTTAAACATACAACTTTGTATAACAAACACGCTTGGACAAACCAACCGTACGGCAGCAGTCATGTACAGAGAAGTGGATAAATCAATACGAGTGCGTTTTGCAGAGTACACGGGAAACATAGGTAGACGGGCTTAAGGCTGATTAAGGCTTTATTATCTAATTTGCTAACACATTTACTCTGACTCAAATATCCTTTATTTTGCTCCAGATACAAGACAACAATAAGTTTTGTAGATGTGAGAAGGAGGGTTAATTTGCAAAATGTAAACACAGAGCTCGTATTTAGATGGGAAATTTTCAAAGCACTTGTGTTGTTTCCCCTGCGCTCGCGTAGTGACTGTAACCCTCTATTTACAACATCTGCATGTATCTCGTTTTCGCCCTGGGCTTGCTAATGATGAGTATAATGTTGTATACCGTCTTCCGTTCAGCGCAATGATTGTCGCTTTAAAGCTTCAACATTAAGCAGTATTCTTTGTTTGTTGTGGTATTAATATAAACTTGGAGGGCCCACTATTTATCGAGAGTTTAACCAATGGTATATCATCATATTGACTATATAATCACCTTGGAGGTGTCATAATAATGAAATTTGTCTGGTTGCTGACAACAGCTTCTCCACCCCGCTATGATATAGAATGGCTTTAGTCTCCATAAGCATCCGATAATTCGTTGGGCCGCTATGTGAATATTTTCGTCACATTATGCAAGTACAAAGTCCATGAAAATTTCAACCAACCACACCAAGTTGTAGTAATATTTATGTAAATATGACGTTCTCAAAACATAAACAGTCGTAGCCCGCTTACCGCATGACGTCGCTATGTATGGCTCTTGCTGTAAATGCGCGTAGGCTTGTAGCTCCCCTCGCCTTATGGGCAGGGCCTGGCGACACAAGAGTCATACTTTATGAATGAGAGGTCAGCGCTGTCCATTCACGGGCTTTTTCTTTTACCCCTTATTAATTAACAGCCGCGTGACCAAAATAATGTTGTGCTTTTTTCGACGGTGCGTTTGTGAAATTTGCACGTGTCCCCTCGAGATCCACAAAGTTCACTCACACTCGACATTTTCACTGAGAGCCAAATGACATGCATATTTGCGGAGATTGGCGGTATTAAATGCTTCAAAACAATATACGCTAAAGTAGCACAATTTATTAGGATGTAGATACCTAAGTTTTGAACAGGATGCCCTTGTTAATTCGTGATTAGATATTTTCAAATTACTACTACAGTCTACGATCAAATGCGTATTTATCATATTGTAAATAAACAATAGCTAATCTGTTTTGTACGATATGGCAGCGGGGCGGAGCCGTCTTTTATACTTAACGCTTACTCCAGGGAGTGGAATGACTTCCATGTCGCTAATGAGGTCACAGGCGTATGGGTAAAACGAGTACTGAATGCGACCTCTACTTATGCTCTGTTGAACATCCTAATACTTCACAACAGTCTATTGACATTTACACAGCTGATAAGTTCATAGTTGTCGTAAAAAAGGTCTCATTAAAAAAAACTTTCTTGCGTTTTGGATTCACCCTCTTTTCATTTCTCGTTGACATAAATAACCTTGCAAGGTATCTACGTTCGTCACAGTGACTGTGGACATATAAACTAGTACATCTGTTCCTGTAGTGGCCTCATAAAAATATTGAATAAATTACAGAGTTTGCAGTATTCTTGTCAGTGTCTTTGTCTAATCAGTGGTGCAACGCGTTGTGGCTATTGTGCGCAGTCGATGAACCAAATCTCGAATGCATTGCCTTCCCGCGCCGATCGGCGAATTTACTTTTAACGCTCGTATTGCACTGTTCGTGACTGTTTGTGACCGACCGCATACTGTATTTGTATCATTGACTATAAACTAGTTGCAACGTATCGCTGTTTGTTGCGGCGATGGCCATCTAATTAGGGCGTCTGTCAACCGTTAATTACGCAGCGACTTTGTTAAGCGATAACGCATAAAAATTACAACTATGCCGCGTTTCTGGTTGTTCAATGTCCAATACTATTATAAAGACTATGGCAGTGTTGGATTAAGAGTCGGCACGCCGTGCGAGGCACGGCATCTTGCCAAATGATACATGTTTAGATCAGAAGGTTCTTAATCGGTTACCGTTTACTTTATCACGATTATTCTGTTTTCCATAAACTTATTCGATGCACGTATTAAAGCACGTATTGCGTTGTTAACAATCGTTTTGCTTTCTATTTTATACATTATTTCTTGACATGTTGAACTCAGATGTAAGAGACCTCAGATGAGCTCCGAGCGAGCATCGGTCCTAAGGGTCGTCCTTGCCCTCGTAACTGGGCCGAAATGGTGCATCTTCTAACTAGGTCAAGCTCGCTACGGCGCGGGTCGCCACGTGCTGCTCCCCCCTCCACTATTTTTACAGGCATCGGCAAATATATTTTGCTGTGAGGTATTAAGGCCCACTTTGCTTTGTGGGAACATACAAATGGCCTTGTTGAAGAATTGGTATATGCATCTTGCGGAGGTTCCGTAATCAACTTTATCCCCCTTTGTTAGGGTCAGTATTTGCCCAATGTTGGGTCAAGCAACATAAAAAGCAACAGCCTTCGCTCAAAACTTGTGTTTCATTCGTTGCGACCATTTGAATTTTGCATTTAATGGTGCAGAAGGCATTCTTGAAGCTTTATCTCCTGGAGCTAAATGCACGTTAGACACAATTATTCAGATTTTGTAGACATGTACCACAAAATGTTTTAAACGAGTTCATTTTTGTTTATTTGTATCTCAAAGAAAGAGAGGCCACGAGTAGAAGTTGATCTAGCATTACCACGCATATTAACATCTAGCATATTAACGTGGTGATAGTGAAAGTTTATTATCTTCATGATCAACTTTGGAAGTAGCTTATCCATTTTGGCTGTCTATTGTGAAGTATCTTATATCTCGTAAATATAAATAAAAAGAAACTAAAGAGCGCTGTGACATAAATTCTTAAGTTGTAAAACGAAAGACTAATTGATAGTGAGACCGTGTCTCATCTTCCAATAGAGAAGGGGATGTTTAAGAAACCGCACTGTAGTTTCCGAAGTCCAGTAAATTGAGATCCATACTATGTTTGAGCCTGTTACATAATATATTTCCTATATAAATGGAATCGATCACGATCTCGGGGTCGGTTATTGTTTTGAATTTAGATTTACATTCCGTAAGGTAGATTTTTCCAAATTTTTTTACTATAACTGGTTTTGAAGCGTACGAAGTTTGACTATGCTATGTAATGTTTTGATCGGTGCCAAATTAGCGTTTGCCGCTGGCAGATCAAGTTCGTTTCGCTTACTCTGCTTTTTACTTGTAACATTTCACAAACAACGTTATCGCTATCGAAACAGTTTGGATTTTGGAGCTTTCGTATTTTGTACAAGTACTCAGCCGTGATGGTTCTACGTCCACGAAAATGTACACTGAATTGTTTGTAATGACAAACAACTGAAAAATATTACGAAGCTTTTCGAATGCCTCGGAACACACGAACTCTTGTTAAACTGAAAGATCTAAAATTTCTACAGAAGCCAATAGGATCGATTTATTAGCGTAGGTGATCAGGCTTTCAAGAAAATCAGCTGTACGGGGCTCAAAATAAGTCGAAATGTAAAGGTCCAACACATGCAAAGTTAATTTTCTGCTCTGTACATGCAAAGCATTAAGATTTATTTCCAAGCTGTAATTGGATATTAAGTGTCTGCCCTCTTTAACCAGAGATGTGAATACGATACGTTTATAATACGAGCTGCCTGTAATTACTATAACAGTAATTATAACCGACATTAGTGAGTAGAATAGATCGTAAGTATCGACTACTAAGAGCGGTGGTAGCCTTGTGGGAGAATGGTTGGTTCTTAATTAAGAGCTCGACTTGGAGGCAATCCGTGTCATGTCGGGCGCGTAATGTGATGATCGGCTGCTTTACGAAATATGACGTGAGCAATTTCCAAACCGTAAGATTCTGGCCCGAGCCATAATTACTTTTCAATTTACTTGACTTGTTGCTGTTGGTTCAATAATTAAAAGAAAATTATTAGAATTTTAAATGCATATGTAACTGCTACTTTATTCAGGTCAGATGTAGCGAACAATGCGACACGCGGGGTCAACTGAACGGCGGCGGTCTCTTTGCGTGCCTCATGTTCGTAAAATTACCAAGTGCGTGTCTGTTTATTTTAGCGCGCAGTTTAAGACGGAAGCAATTGGTTTTGAATTATTCATTATCCAGTGATAAACCAAGTAGGCATTGTATTCGGCTTAGAGCAGCCAATTGGTTGTTAGCATAATCGGAGTCGCTGGAGCGCACAGCGTCAGCGCAGCGCGTCAGGCGATGCTGCTGGGGATGTTTATCAATCGTCGATAACGGCCGCCGATGTTAATTGAGTAATCTGGAAAACAGTTTGCTGCCGTTACCGTTCCTGTGGCATGTCGTGTCCAATCAAATATGTTTTGGCATTGTAATTAGTCCGTTTTATACATGGGCACATTTATTACTGGTTTGTTTTATCTATAGCAGTATGTATTTGTTTTATCCACTTTACAAGCATTCTTGTAGGCGAAACATGTTGAAGCGTAAAAGCGGTAACGTGCGGGGGATTTATGTCGAACTGGTATGGAAGCTTATTTAATTTGAAGTAAATGCTTAGCTTGGATAAAGTTAGCTAGCCGAGGTAGTATGGAAGTAGCGGGCGCGGAACAGAGCAAGGCCGCCTCACCGCCCACATCACAGCACAACGCCACAATCGTAATGGTTGCTTGCTCATCAGTAAACAACCTGTGCCCTGATCGGTATGCGTCGCGTCACCCCAAAGTGGCTTAGATCCCTACTAGAGCCAATTAATCAAGCTCATTTGCCATGCAATTGGATTTCTGTAAGCGACTATTGAGTACTACTGTCAAGAGCCAAAATAATAGTTTTTATCTATCTTCATTGCGTTTATTTACTTTACAACATGAATAATGAAGTGAAGATATCTGTTCTCATTACAAATACATAGCATCGTTCAGTACTCGCCGATGTTTATAAAGGTTGAAAGTAAAGGTATTTACAACTCTACGCGTGCTACGTTGTAGGAAATACAATATTTCCAAGAGCTGGTAACACATCGAAGAGGAGACCTTGGTAAATTTTCGCATCCAACGTGTTGACATCGGTGTACGTTACACCGACTATAGAAAATAGTTGTGTGACCTTACAACTCGAAACAATTATGAAACTTAATTTGCCCAGCGCGTAAAAAGTGACACATATTAGAGATAGCGGCACACGAGCCTTACAATGTAACCGGTATCAATATAGTTTGTAAGATTTATATTAGATTTACTGTAAATATAGTGTTTGATTGCTTATGTTGTTCGGCTCCATAGCACCACTATGCTCTAAATGCTCGCGTGTCAGTAGTCGGGTGAGGACGCGGCTCGTTCGCGACAGCTCCTCCATCGCGACAGCTCCGAGCGGGTTCGCTCGGTCGCGTTCATTCGCGCTCGTTCTGCAAACGAATTCATTGAAGCACTCACTCGCTTTCTTTAGCCAGCCCGCTTTCCGGGATTTCGAAGATGTATCGCCGAGCGGCCAGATGCGTAAGTGGTGTGTATGGGGTCCAAAATGTCATTCTATTTAATGGACTAGGACGTTTTCTCTATTTGTTGTAAGGTGGGACGCAGGGCCCCGGCCGCCGACCCCACCTGCCCTACCTCCACTTACGCCTCTGGATGTATCGTACGTGAACACCTCAAATAACAAGTACCCTGCTAACAAACAGAGCTCAATTTTCAAGACTCCATTCAAATTTTTATTGTTTAACACAATCTTGAATGAAACACGGAGGCCTGCACTGCTTGCTACAGATGATCAAACAAAAACTGCGAATGTTCAGGAAGCAATGTTCAGAATAAAGACGAGTCTGTTTAGTAGCAATGGTGCGAATTCACATGATATTAGTGTGTGTTTGAGGTAACGTTCAAGCCTAGAGCGTCTTGAACCTTGTTCTTCTAATTTCTGTGTATTGTACGGACTCCTCATTCTATTTTCCTTATCTTTAATATGTGTTTCGCCTCAGAACGTCGCTCTAACGTTAAGTCATGAATTAAAACTTGCTGTGTGACGAAGATACCGTATACAGCATTTTATTTATTGATGCGAAGCACATGTTCCGTTAGCATATTACTTTGCGACATCTATGTGCCGTGTTGTGCAATTTGTATCTAATAAATCACTGTCAGTAGTTTGTATTTCTGGTTTCTAAAAATGTTTATGTTATTACTGTACCTAACCAATATTTTGCCAGTGTTATGTATGCCAATTTTCACCCTAATTTGCAGGGCTCGCTACGGCCATTGTTATTTTGTTTAGATACTAGTGCTTGTTTTGATTTTTTTACCTTTACCATGATTTTATAGTTACATTGTCTAGCCAGCGACGAGTAACAGCTAAAGGGCGTTGCACAATTCGCCATATTAATGTAATTGTCAAATACTTTATTACGTGATCGCTAGCGACAACTGTACAGCTCATTGTAGAGGTACTGATCATATTTCGGAGTGGTAGAGCAGTGTAGATATTATTCTTCAAACATAAGCTAATGCGCATCCTGCTGTAATCGATTAGCGTTGTTAAGAAATGGCACATCACGCTAGTCTGTGGTCGCGGAATTTGCTGCAAGTGGCATGAGTCAGTGCACTGGAAGGATCCATTTCCTGGTGGCAACGGTGCGTCGTGCGCAGTTAGTGGCGAGATGCAGCGTGCAGGTGCAGCGGGGCAACGGTCCGCTTACGATTGTGGCTAATTCGGTGTACGCTCGTTTGCTTGCAAACTCCGCCATGTTGCTTGCCCACGTTGCATTGTTCCTCATAACGGGCCACTACCGTTCAGAGCTCGCGCAGTGAGTGCTGTTCATTAGCGAGCGCATGTTTGATGTGCATTAACTTGGCTACATTCACATGTAATTTGCTTCAGATAAATTGTTTGAATAGTCCGATACCTTAATGATTGGGTATATGTTTTCAGGAAGCGCGGGTGTCGACCTCGTGCACGCCTTGACATTTGATGCATGTTAGACGCACGCGTGCGCACAGATATTGGGCGTAGGCCAAGCAACCAAACAACACGTTGGTAGTGTTAGCTCTTGAATGTGTTCTGTTCGGATAACACGGTAGCAAAAACGCAAAATGTTATCATTGCATAGATGGAAGGATGCGTCGGAATTGTAGAGACAGCGCGGGGCTCGACTGCCATTAGGGGTAATGACTCATCCCTGTGCTCGTTATCGAAGGTCAAGAGTTGCAAGGCGGTGCCACGCGGCGGTGGCGTGGAGCGATGAACCGCTTGCCTCGACCGCACTTGATTTGTGTAAAGAATTTCTAAAGTGTACGTTGCCTGGTGTGCTAATTACATTATTGTTATACTCGTGTGCGTTAGCAAAAATAAGTGTGCCTACGTCTTGCTCTTTTATCTGGCTTCCAAGACACTCGTCGGCCAGTTGGCCTGATTTTCAGTTTTCGAGTGTGTTGTATATTTCTTGTGAATTTTGTTAATCAACCACAAACTCATTCGAATGCCGATTCATTCGACGAGGAGCAATAGAATGGTCGAGCGAAACGAATGGCTTTATAAACGTTCTTAAAAATGTATTTACATTTGCCACACAATGAAGCAAGGGTAAAAGGACTACACCTGTTTTATTGTGGGGTCATTGATCTTTCTTAAGATCGCTGACTTGTGGACGGGTAGCTTTTAGCTTTTCATCTGAATTCGTCTTAGGTCTATTTCGACTACGACAAATGATGTACTTCGTGATAAAGTGGTTTGTGATGAACTGAAACGAAATTCGAGAAAAAAAAGGGATTTTTTCATTTGAATTAACGCCTTGGAATTCTTATGTGATATTTCGCGTTGTTATGTCAAGTTGTAAATGTTAATTATCGTTCTAGTGTTCAGTCCACGTGGTGGATTAATCGCAGGGGTTTATTATCTACGTGATCATCTTCCCACTCCAGCGTGTTGTTGTGTAAACACGTGGCGTTCATTCACCCGCGCCCGCTGCGCCTGCGCCGCGTCTGCTGCCACCGCGGGCATGACATGCTTACCTCGCCTTTGTTTTGCTCGTTTTATTTATTTCACCACCCGATATATTCAAGGGATTCATCATTTCTTGCTGCGTAGAATGCTGCGCTATCGTAATAAACGGTAAAATCAAAATAGAGTTGTGTTTATTTATAATTTCTGGTACAAATTGTGCCGTAGTGGTTTACCACTCGTTTCTCGACAGCAAAACAACTTCCATGCCATCAGTAAAAATAGTATTTAGAGATAATAAACCAATTTTCCACGTGTTATTTTTAATGGCGCTATTTAAGGGAACGTCTGATTTTTGTGGTTTGAAATACAGTGTGATCATTGTCATTATTTTCATAGATGAAATGCTATATTATAAAGTTGATAACCTACTTGTCGTAGAGTCGTAGCCTGACCAGATCAGGCTGTGGCGCCGCTGCTAATGCTGCGTCTACAGAATGGAAGTGTGTTGACGTTGCGATAGGCTCGTTTTTTTTCATTCGACGCCAACGCGTTACTGATTCGATAGTCAACTCTAATACTGTTTGGATTTACTGCTTAATTATTATTTGTTAATTGCGTGTTTTAATCATAATTATTATCTTTGTTTTGTCGCCAGTATGTCACATAGCTAAGGTTAATATAAAGCTTTTCGAACTTTCTTGAGCCGTTCACATTTCGAGCTGTCCTTATCACCTTTTGTATGTGGTATCGGGATGCAGATTGACTTTTTTCTAAAACTTTTTCCATTTGTGATAGCAATTTCTATAACGACTTATTTGCTGCCTAAATAATTGCGACGTAGGGTTGGAAAGCGTGTGCAAAAAACACCACTTGTTTATGGCAAACAGCTACGAATTATCTGAATCTTTATAAATAAATAGTCGGTTTTAGCGGAAACATCTCTTTGTCTTGTTATGTCGCTCGTGTAAATAGGGCGCGTAATATGATTTCCTGTGAGAAAGCAATGTTGTAGGTACAATCATTGACTATAGTTTCCCAAAGTGGTCCCTACCGCCCCTAGGCGCTGAAGAGTCCTAGGACCTGGTAGGGGCCTCGGAAGCAATTGGGGGCTATTGATGCTGTCCAGGAGGTTAGAAAAACATCTTGAATTATTTATATAGTACACTACAAATATATTTTTTTCCTTGTCACTTTTTGTTTTAAGTTAATATAAAAATACGTGTTTTCTATGATTTTTTTGTGGTAGTGGGTTTTTATCTTGCTTAAGTGGGCGGTGATCCAAGAAGTTTGGGAACTTATGGTATAGACGGTAAACCCTTTTATTGTTTCTCGCATTGTAAAGCGTGAAGCCTGATTTTTGGCAAATAGAAATGCCAAAAGTCTGGTAATACATATTTTATTTTCACGTGATTATGTCTCGTTTATTGTTTGTTTAACTTTTAATATTGCTTTTACCCAGTTCTCAGTAAATTAAAGCTCTACTACTTTGTAAGATTACCTGTTGCGCACCTCGAATTCATCGCTTTATAAAAACATTTTTCACATTTTCATTATCACACCAGGCAAAGGAGTGGTAATGAAAATTAAATATTGCAACCTTGAACGTACTTCTAAACATAGTTATTGTGTAAAAACTTGTACAAATGTTCTGATTGCTTATATGTTGCGCACCATAACTTTTATACGCACGAACTAACCCTATCAACTTCACTTAAAGCTTCCTTTAGCATTACAACGCAATGAATGGTATTGCAGGTCATGGCAAGACGCACAAGGACGCGGCGTCGGTGCGGGCGACGCACCCGATTCCGGCCGCCTGTGGGCTGTACTACTTCGAGGTGCGGATCGTGTCCAAGGGCCGCGACGGCTACATGGGCATCGGTCTCTCCGCGCACGGGGTCAACATGAACCGCTTGCCTGGTGAGCATTGTTAGTTAATTCTTTAACTTCATCAAGGGACACACGTACACATTAGAATAAGCATGCAAATTAACACCAAAGCTTCCCATCATATTCGAATCCAAATCAAGTTGTTTCCTATTGTATCACTTAAGAAAGCGTGCCTCCATGGCACTGGATTTAACCAGTTCAATTTAGGCAAGACCAAAAAAAAATAATTTACATTTTATTGTTCGTGGAGAAATTCCACAGTGTTTCTGTATCACAACATGTTCAGAAGAAAATGAAACAGTATACACTTCATCTCAGTCACATTCGCAAGTTACGTAGGAACCAATAACAAAGGAGCATAACAGATATGTGATATGAAAATCGCGAATGCGCTGACGTATCAATAACGCGCTCGTAGAAACGGAGTATTCCATATCAGTTTACGCATCTCGGCGAATGTCACTAGAACGCCCATGTGGGCCATTACGTCATCACAGTACGTGTGACGACATTTGAACAGACCTTGGTCTATTATTGAATTAATAAGGAAGCCCAAATTATCTTATGGAAGGTCTACACCGAGCGTGAATGAGGTCTGAGTCGTAATTCCAAACAGAACGCATCTTTCTTTCTTTCTGTGAAAATAATCGCGAATCTTTTGCCGTTTACCCCGATCATTGAAAATTCAAAAAGTCAAAGTTATTATACAAAGGTTGTTGTTGTTGCCGATACATTTATAATGACTTCTAATTAACCGAAACGGAAATTCTCCATTACATTTGCAAACGGAAGATGTCTACAAAAAAAACTGTTGACGCCAGCGAACAGCAATGAAATGTAGAATGTGGTGTGTGCGCAGGTTGGGACAAGCACTCGTACGGTTACCACGGCGATGACGGGCACTCGTTCTGCTCGTCGGGCACGGGGCAGCCGTACGGGCCTACCTTTACTACGGGTGACGTGATCGGTTGCGGCGTCAACCTCGTCGACAACACCTGCTTCTACACCAAGAACGGACACCATCTCGGCATCGCCTTCAGAGGGTTACCGGTAATCATCAGACCCTGATTATAATAACTAGCATACAAGTACAATATAGGTTGATCTGTTTCGGTCCGCGTATTTACGACGTAGTATCTATCATCACCAGCCAGTTACCAGTGCGGTTGGACCGGGTGAAACATGATGCGAATACTACCCTGATGTTTAATCGATGCATTAATTAGTCATTGACGTACGAGAACGAATCCAAAGAAATTGCTTCTAAAGTGGTTGCGCACTGCTTTTCAGCCAAACCTGTACCCGACGGTGGGTCTCCAGACGCCGGGCGAGGTGGTGGACGCCAACTTCGGGCAGGCGCCGTTCGTGTTCGACATCGAGGACATGCTGCGCGAGCTGCGCGCGCGCACGCGGCTCGCCATCGACGAGTTCCCGTTGCCCACCGAGCAGGGCGAGTGGCAGCAAGTCCTGCACAGGTAGGCTTCGGGGCCGTCCGTCTCGGGGGGCGCGCACGTTCAGCGCCCGTCCAACCGTCGAAACGTCGTTTCAGGATGGTGTCGTCGTACCTGGTGCACCACGGCTACTGCGGCACGGCGCAGGCGTTCACGCGCGCCACGGGGCAGCTCATACACGAGGACATAGCCTCCATCAAGAACAGACAGAGTGAGTGCGGACCGCGCGGCGTCGTCTCTTCCGGGAAGCGCGTCGCTAACCCGGCCCCTTCTGTCGCAGGAGTGTCGAAGCTGGTGCTGGGCGGGCGCATCGGCGAGGCCATCGAGGCGACGCGGCGGCTCTACCCCGGGCTGTTCGAGCGCGACCGCGACCTGCTGTTCCTGCTCAAGTGCCGCCAGTTCGTGGAGATGGTGAACGGCTCCGACGCCGAGGTGACGCGGCGCCGGCCCCCCCGCCCGCGCCCGCGTGCCCCCCCTGACGCGTTTCTGCCGCAGGTGGGCGCGGCGGGCGAGAAGGGCGCCAGCAACGGCGTGGCCACGTCCGTCATCTCGCACACCAGCCGCGCGCCGCCCGCGCAGCCGCCGGCCGCCAACGGCGCGCACACCAACGGTGCGCTCTCCGCCCTCGCGCGCGCCTGCGCCTGCGCCGGCCCGGCGTGACGGCAAGTCGTTTCCAGGCGTCTCCGAGCCGCAGGAGGACGCGGACCGGGAAGAGAACTGCGACGTGGACATGTCGCCCCCGCACGAGGCGGACCACGCGCACCCCCTGCCCCTCGCGCACGAACCGCACGCCAACGGATCGCACCAAGGTACCGCGCGACCGGCGACCGGCGACCGGCGACCGGCGACCGGCGGGAAGCGGGCCCGGCTGCAATCGCGCCACTCGCACGACGGCGGAAGGCGCCTCGGCGCGCAGACCGCCTCCGGCATGCAAGTTTCCTCTCGGCGCTTTCTCTCTCGAATTCGTCCACAAGCGATAGGCTAGGCCGGTGACCCGACAGGTAGCGGGGGCGAACCTCCGTGAGGAAACTGTACCTCAACTCTTCCGCTTAGGCGAGCCGGGAGTCGCATCCAGAGTTAGGTTGGTATGTGGGTTTGAAGCGGAGCGAATTGAGAAGCGAGTCCTTTCGCCCCTAAGAAGGAAACCGCGGACGACGTGCACACGATTTTATATCCACCGATTGGCAACACATACAAATTTATATGACCTCCTTATATTTAATTTTAAGTAATCTTACTACAGATATGTAAATGTTATGTACCTAACTATTTGATTGTATAATTTTTCATTTATTTATTATTTGCACAACATATCATTCATTATATAATGTTTTGGTTCACCGGTTTAATATCTGTGTAGATACATGTTCCATTATTTGACGTCATCGTTATATTTATTTGCTCGTCGCTTCCTAGTAGTGCATGGGCCCGCTCGACTCTCCCCATCGGCGCGGAGCTCGCCCGTCCGGGCGGCACCACCGCCCGACCATTTCCTTCCGGCTTGTTGTCACCTCACGCCACTTAACACCGCATTAGAGTCGCATCTCACCCATCTGCACCTAGTCGCGTATTACTTTGAGTTGGCCGCCGGCAGCGCAGCATGCACGGCTCCCGGCGACACTTCGGGCCGGAGGGCGGCCCGAAGTGCGCCGGAGCTCGAAAGGAACTGTCGCAGTGACCCGAGCGAAGGCTCCGACGCGACGACTACGGTCGATGGCAATCCGCGAAAGCGCTGCGAGCGATTAGCTCGCTGTGGACGATAGTGCGGGAGCGCGCGAAGTAGCTACCGCCGACCGGGCGGGGTCACTGCGGCAGCCGAAGCGCCCGTGACGCTGGTGGGCGGTGGTTCCAGGAGAGGCGCCGCTGCCGCTGGTGAAGGGCATGCCGGGAGTGACCGCCAGCGTCGCCGCGCTCATGCCCGATTTCTTGGGTGGGTATCCTCGTCGCCCTCCTCCCCTCCTTCCCCGCCACGCCCTCCACTTTTTTCGGCAGACTTTCCTGCGCTTACATCGGGAGCTTCATTTTTACATTGCTATGTAGAACGTGAACTCTGCAGAGTGTCATTTCCCAATAGACCCTGCGACACAGCGGCTTCTTTCTTCGGGAATGACGTTTGATCGCACGCGCGGTCTTCCGAGCGGTTCGAGATTGCGTAAGCTCTTGGTGGCCTTGGGCGACTCGAAACATTTCTTATCTGATCCTCCATGCCCGCACAGATATCATTTTTTATTCGCACAATTCGTTTGGTAGCTTGACCTACCTTTTTAAACGTCCGTATCGAGGCGTTCCCCTCTCCCGAGACTTTCCCTTTGCGTCAATCGCGTGACGCTGTCGCCTAACTCGTCTGCCAAATCTACTAACACCTCGAGAACGTCACAGTGAGGTTTAATACGTAGTAAGTATTACTTGTTATTCCCCAATCTTGAGTTAATCCGTGAGTATTGTTATTTTTAGTTGGGTTTTGAGTATATATTGCCTTTTTCAACTCAATTTATGTGAGTGTAATCCACAAATGGCTGTAAAATTGGGACATGCTTGTGTTTTAAATATTCTGTATGACTCACTCCCGTTACTAACTTCAATAATTGGTTCTGAGGATTTTTTCTTTTTAACACACTTTTTATGTAATTTATTTATTTTAATGACGTCGATTCGGGCATTAGCATACTGCATCTTGTCTCTGTCTCTTTTCAGCATAGGTCACAAAAAGGTGTTCCAAATCTAAAGATACATGTGTAGATATAGCTGCATCGAGTGACATAGGGTTGTTAAAACTACCAAATGTTAATTAATTATTAAATGGTTTTACTGCATCGTAGGACGAAATTACGAGAGATAAAACGGATAGTGATTTGGCCGGATACCGGATATCCGGCCTCCGGATATCTGACGCACTGCCGTAAATATGTTGCGACCGGTTTACAACGCGATTCATGATTGTTTAATTAGTGAATGATTGCATTTAAACATTGACATTTTGATTTGTTGTAGTCGCTTGGCTTTTATAAAAACGAATAATTTATTCAATAATACAAACAAATACATAACAGAATAATGTTAACAGTGAAAAAAATCGCAAATTTCGCAGTATTTTAATATCAGTGCAAGTAGTACTTAAAATTTAACAAAGTTTGAAAGAGTTTATAGTGAAAAACTATCCTCTGAAGCTGGTATCGTTTATGAAAATAAAAATGGAACCAACTATTACCACGTAATCCAGAAAAACTGATCTTCATCCACCAACTTTTCACTTTATTGAAATTTGAGTACTAAATTTGCAGATAACGTTATCTAACTTAATTGTTCTTTCAATTGCAAGTAATAAACATATTGCCAACGATCCTGTAGTTGCTTTTTATCCTGTTACTATCATATTTAATCAATAAATCAATTTATTTGGAGCACTGATTATGAATTTTTACTCAGCTTTAAATATCCGGTATCCGGCCGGATATTGTTCTTCTATCCGATATCCGGCTGGATAGTAAAGTTAGGACGGATGGGCCGGACGACACGGCAACAAGGCTGTCAGCGAATTTGAATTTACTTTAAAATCCAACTTCAATTTCCTAGATCAGTAGTTTTGTTGCACGACGCAGTAAAACCATTTCCTTGAATCCGGAATTCGAAAAGTTATTCATTAATATTTCGTGGTTTTAACGACTCTACGTCGCTCCTTGTAGCTATATCTTTACATGTATCTATAGATTTGGAACACCTTTTTCTGACCACTGGTTATCAGTAAGGACAGTAATGTAAAAAAATTACGTGAAAGTGATGCCCATTGGCTATTCCGTAAAAGTAACCTGCTTTTATTTGTACCACGGCAAAATTTATAAGAGGCCGTCAGCATTTTACAACTTAAACTTAAAAATCATATCTCCTGTCCTGTTTTTCCGACAACAATAGAGACAGGGACCTAAATTAGGTTTACTTTGATTTTGCCTCGGTCGACCTGCATCATATTTTCTGTTTTGCCATAATTACTAAATTGAGTTGAAAAATGTGTGTGCATGCACATTATTTTCGGTCCCAACAAAATGATTAGGCTTTTTGTAGGATTTTTGCATGGCGTCTGAGGAGTAAGACCGGCGGGAAAGCATGTGTTGCTACGGGATGGTTATGGGAAATTAAGTTAATGCATAATATTTAATCAACTGCTGCAAACGATGTACCTCCAGAGCATGTTGTTGACTTACGATCCTATATTGGACCAAAATGTATTGCTTATTTTACGTAAATTATGTTCAAGTATTATATAATATTATTATGTTCTCTGTATTTTATGTAATCTATGGGACACTAATGTACAAAATAAATGGGGTGAACTAAACACTGCATGGTCGCGAACCGTTTCCCTTCCGACTGTCGCTCTCTGTTTGTTGCGCACGCATCCAGCAGCCGAGAAGCGGATTTCCCTCTATAGCCACATTGCAAGGTGGCAATTTCTCTATACTTGTTTTACTAGGGTTCGTAATTGCACTGAAAGGGCAAAAATTTTAAGAAATTAATCAAAAATATTTCATCGTTTTGTGCCACTTGTCCATTGTTGGAGATCAGCTTTACGTATTTGTTTCCAGTGGCAATCGAAATGGCAACAGAACGAAGTCGTGTCGTGGCCGGGAATGTTATTTTGCCTAATAAAGTAAAATTGTGATAAGAACAGTAAGTCTGTATGTATTTTATGTACGGCAGAGTAGCGAACGTGGCAGAAAGCTCGTTTCGATTGCCAGCTAGTTACATGTACGGGTGGGCGATACGATCTCTACATATTAGAATTACACGGATTCGATTTTACAGGGAATACCCAACTATATAACGGTATGGAGTTTAACGTTTAGTTTATTTTCTTTTTCACAACCGTGATCTGCAGAATACTGCCTTCGAAAGGCATAAGAGCGAATTCTGAATTCGGAGATACGTGGGGTGCACTATAAGTTTCCGGAATGAATAAGAAAAAAATACTATAAATGGTCAGAAATGAATTTATTGCTTTTATGTGTATTGTGCCTCTAGGCACTTTCCACGCGCGCCACTTTGGTTGGTTTCGGTTCATCTCGAAAGATCCCTTCGCTCGATTGCTGCTTTATTTTGGGAACGGAATTTTAATATAAATCCATGTTTCGTCACCAGTTACTATGTCCCGTACCAAATTTGACGCCCCTTTGTTGAATCCGGTAAGCATGGCGGTGCACCAAGTGACGCGATCCGTTTTTGAGCCTACTTTTTAAATATTGTTCATGCAAGTGGCCAGTTCCGGAAAGTTACAGTGCGCCCTATGTAAATGCAAAAAGTGTTAGCGACCACTACACACGGCCCTCCGCCGGGAGGGCCCGCTGACGCGACCCGTGCGCAGAGGCGGCGGCGGGCTGCGGCGGCTGCGGCTCGCGCGAGCGCGCCTCGGTGGAGCGCATGCTGGCCTTCGGCCGCGAGCTGTACGCCATGAGCCAGAAGCTGGAGCGCGACGCGTACCACAAGGCCATGCTGGAGGTGAGCGGGGGGCGCCGGCGCCGCGCGCCGCCCGCCGCGCCTGACCGCCTACCGCCGCCGCCCTTGCAGGACGCCTTCAGCCTGCTGGCCTACAGCAACCCCTGGGCCAGCCCCGTGGGCTGGCAGCTGGAGCCGGTGCGGCGCGAGGCCGTGTGCGAGGCGCTCAACGCCGCCATCCTCGAGGCCGCGGGCGAGCAGTGGGCGTCGCCGGTGGAGGCGTGCGCGGCGCACTCGCGCGAGCTGCTGCGGCGCATGGCGCGCGCGGGGCTGGGCGCCTGCGCCTTCGCCGACCTGGCGCAGCTGCTGCGGCGCTGACCGCCGCCCGCCCGCGCCGCCCGCGCCCGCCCCC